ACCGCCGGCTACTTTTCGTCTGGTCACAGGAAAAATTTTATATACAAAAGTACAAGCGAACCAACACGATGTTTGTTATGTTCCAATTGGAATTCAAGCAAAACATCACTTATTTTGGAAGATCATTAAGATCAGTAATACATAGTACCAAACATAGCTTGCTTTCTTAAGTTGCTGTCTAAAAAGTGATTATATAAACATTCTTTGTTTTCTCGTCGCCATCTTGAATTTCGTAGCAACTGGTCAGCGGCTCTGAATCTTCCTGACCAGGAAGATGACTCTGCTTGACTCTGACAGTGACTTAAGCATTGGGGAATCCGAATTTGACAGTGAGCCAGAGAACGAGTCAGATTCAGAGCTACTTTGGTAAATGTTTTTCAAGTGACTAATTCTTTGACAGTGAATTAATTATGATAAAGTGATGAAGGAAAGTTCATTACGTACATAAGTATAACATCATTTGATTAATGATTTCGGACTCATAAATTAATACCAATAGTGTACATTGTCATTCTGTTCATGCATTCTGTTCATGCAGCTGCTTAAACTACTAGTAGCACATTAAAGTACATTGTCACCTTTAAGTATAAATGCAAATGACATCCAAATCTAACATGTTAACAGTTGTACTTTGTCTTTTTACTTTTTGTATATTATTTGATTGTTAATTTGTGGAGAAAATTTTTTAAATTTCCATGCGAGGACGCGCCCTCCTCCCCGCGCGATTTTTGAACTATCAGTCACGCGCGATTTTTTAACTATCAGGCTACTTTTTTGGTACAGGCGCCTACTTCAAATCATTCTAAAACCCCTGGTCAAACGTTAAAAATAGACGTGAAAAGTACACTGCAGTTACTGGCTTCGTGAATCGAACTCCGTGCCTTCAATCTGATTGGTTAGTGTTCCGCTTACTGTATAGACGCACTGTAAGCTACCCTCTAGGAAAATTTAAGGTAAAAACCCCACTCCCACATGGGTATCTGGACCTCAATAGGGGGTGGGGGTACCAATATTAAAGGGATGGCCCGTTGACTTGGTGAGTGCATGGTGAATACAGTATCTTTATAATACCAGACATACAACACGAAAGCAAAGTGAAAGCATGCTGCTCTGCTTTGCATAGAAAACAGAATAATTTTTTAAGCATTTCTAGTGTTACTTGTGATGATAATCATAACTGATGATAAAATATAGAGCCGTGGCTAATGATTCAAACTTTTCATTAAACCCCTAAGTGGGTAGAGTCATTCTCTAACTTTAGATGAAAATCTTACATAGAGAAACCATGTCGATGTCTTTACCAAAAAGATGTCTTCTGCATTCACCAAAGGGAATTTTTAAAATAGTTGGAAAATGACAATTCTGAGCTTTATTCTAAGCACCGCTGTTGCCATGGTAACAAGCTTTCAACACAAAAGTAACAAATTTTAATGTTTAGGAGAGCATTGTCAATGTGTCCAATAAATGTCGTCTTCATGTCGTGTAAAGAGAAGAAACAGGAGTCTCCTGGATACTATAGTGCAGTATGATTCAAAAACCCTAGGGAGCCACCTTAAAAACAGTTTGTCAAAAGTAATTCAGTTGAATAAACATTTCGAAACATTTTACGAATTCAGATGAAATTTTACGTTTACAAAAGTCACAAAGTGCAAAATAGCATACCTACAATATACATTGAAATTGATTGCTGTGTAGTGAAAAGTACTAATTTTTTCGTCATTTAGTACATTTTTTTAATGAAAAAATTATCACGTTGCTATGACTATCAGATCCAGGGCGCTGTCACGACCGAGCCCACGTTTAGTGTTGGCCAATTACTAATACTTCATGTTAAATCAATGTTTGTAAAAAATTTACGAGAGGTTGCTTCAGGCATGTATTATAAGTGATATCATATTAATTGCCCTGCGAGAACAAAGGGAATACCCGCAATCATGATTTTATTCTAGTTATATTAATGTGCACATTGCCATAATTATTTCAATTGTTTTCTAACTCGTTTATTGCGTAAAGCTCAAGCACAGAAAACAGAGCTCGTCGTGACAAAATGTCTGCCAGATATGTGTTAATTAAAGGAAGCGATCAATATATAGATGCCAAACTTACCTATTTCCCTCTTTCTTTCCAGATCCACTCCGGTATTCAGTGCATTCATAGCTGGCATCCCTCACGTTCTTGATAGGAATCCTGAATGGGGAAAAGAGATACTACCTCTAACTCTTCAATTGTTGTTATTCTGTCCTGCTCCGGAAGTTGTGAATAAAAGTCGTAAACCTAACTACACCCTAGGCATACTAGAGACTCATGTCAGACATTCATGGCTCATGACTTTATTGATATACTTGTATAAGGTGAGGGCATGCGTGTGAAAACGCATTAATTTACGATATGACATGATGAAATACACGCTTCCAAAAAGTACATCCCCTTGGCTATAGAATCTCGTTTTCGTGAGTGAGACGCTGACCTTAACTAATCTCAAATACTTGAAAACGAGGCTCTATTCTTTAGCCAAAGTGACATATTTTTCGGAAGGCTGTATTCTTCAATCAGTAATGATTTCTTTTGGAAGGGCGGGGGTGAGGTGCGCCCTTAATTGGCAGGGTTATTTTCCACTTACTTTATTTTCTCACTTTTTGGTGTCTGACTATCTGGGTTATCTTTATACCATTACCTGTACCATTAACTTTCCTGTGGCAATTAGCAGGCAAGTGTGTTAATTAACAAATGATACTGATAGTAAGACTGATAGTAAGATGTCTAATTGAAAAAAATTGGAAGTGTAAAAAGATATAATCTATTTTGTATCTTCTGTTTCTAAAATCTTTATCTATTTAGTACGACATTGACAACCACAAGGAACTAACCAAAAACCTTATTCAGATTGTAATGAATACAATCAACGTACAAAATCACGAATGTTCTGACGAGTATGCGCAGAAAGTAGGTCGCAGTTTGTCGGGCGTTGATGACCAGGATCTACCCGTACCCAGGCCTCAACCGTCAGCGCGACGTGGGACATTGGCCGCCATATTTGGATCAGGGGGGAGCGAATCAAGCACGGCTGTTTCGCCGTCTGAGAGTGAGCCTGTAAACGGAATAAGACGAAAAGGTTCGACTTAATTCATTTTAATTTATTCGACCGCTTTTTTGTATAAATTTAGATTAGTTTTTCATAGGACCGTGAACGTCTTTATCGATTGTCCCCTCTTTCGATCGTGGTGGCCCTGTATATAAAATATCTCGTGCATTGGTGCCTTCTTTCTCCCGTGAACATCTATTGAATAATATGTTTCCCAATGCGAAAGTAGTTCTTTGGAAGCGACTGAAGCATGATTCAATCATATCTCTTTTTCCCAATATACATTAGAGCATATGTATTTTATTTTTGCAATCGAGGTTCATTTACTGCTTTGCCTCGTTGCATGATAAAATAATTTCGAGGAGTGATTTATTGAATCGAGTGAGATGCCAACAAAATCTTGATATTTACCCATAACGTAAACATGACAGTACACTATATATATACTTGTGGGTAGTTCGGATTAGTGTGGAATTAGTTCGGATTAGTTTGGAAAGAACTGATGAAAATATCCATTATAGATAAAGTTTGTTTCGTTTTTCTGTCTACTATAACCGTTCTTTTTTCTAATTCCCTCCTCATCAAGCTTTACGATTGCCCAAAGCTTGCCTACTCAATGTCGGTTTGTATTTTTTTTTCTTACATAAAGAATCAGAGCTACGGTCATCCAGTTCCAGTTCATTGCAGGCTCAGATGGCCGTTGTCTCTCCAGACTCCTCGTCATTTGGTATCGGTCAACTGATGTATAATCTAAATAAGCAGTCTATAGGAGAGGATGATGCACATTCGGAAGTCAGTACAGTCTTAAGTTCTGCCAATGATGATTCGCCTTTCACGCAAAGCCGTGTACTTGGTGACCAGTCAAAAGGGTAAAGAGTAGACTTTCCCAATCATACAGATTACTAAAGTGGCACTTTCGTCAAAATTTTTATTTTCTTAAACGGAAATGCTCTTAAAACTGTATACCAGTAACTTGTTTGAAGATGTTTGTTCCCTTGCTTAGTTCTTGAGTTCTTGTTTGTAACCATGTGACGTCGTTTACTCAATTACATATATAATGAAGTATCAGTAATTTTTGCATATCTTTGCTATTTTTTATCAAAATCTTTCGAAACATGCGGCGCGTTTGTTAATTTAACCTACATCATTAAGCATACTGGTTCAAATTCATCAAAAATAGCAAAGATACACAAGAATTACTGATATCTCATTATATATGTAATTGAGTAAATGACATCACATCAATATCTCAAGAACTAAGCATGGGAACAAAAATCTTCAAAACAAGTTACTATACAGTTTTAAGAGCATTTTCGTTTAAGAGAATAGAAATTTTGATGACAGTGCCACTTTAAGAATAGAGTGGGCGGGGAAAATTGATTAGCTGTAAAATCTCGTTCTCCCATTGCAAACTATCGTTCGCGGATCCAAAGTTGCGATGCTTACGTATATACAGCGATAAAAATTCTACTGCTCTGAAAACATGGATTTTTTTCTAGTTTCAGCGTCGTTAAAGCAAGGACTAAAAGTTCGAAATCGATAAGAATACTTGGACTTTAGTACTTTTAAATTTTTGTCATTTTTCATAATACAAAACGTTCCTATAGAAACACTTGAAGCAAAATGATAAAAGTAATTATAGTTATACAAATTTTGATTGATAAATATATGTTCTACCTGGTTGCTGTGTGGGACTCTGTTCGTCTAGAATATAGTAATTTCAGACAACTTTTAAACGCCATGAGAGGTGGTGATAATCTAAGTAATTCTGGCAAGTTGTTCTATAGAGAAATGCTCCACAATAAGAAAAGGAGCGCTTTAGGTAATCAGTATTAAGTTTAGGAATAAACAACTTGCCATTAGAATTCCTGAGAGAATTTTACTGACACCTTCTAATTATTTCTCTAATAATTACTGACACCTAATTAATTCTCTGATAATTATCCAATGGATTTGGCTCATAAACTAGACTAAACCTAATTAAATTAACACATTGACAGATTCTAACAGTAAGCTCGATGAAAGTGAATGCATTCTTAGCGCAACGAACGCCTCATGATCCTCAGTTAACACCAGATGGAAAAACTTCTTGATCACACATATCTTGATATCGGAACTTGTTTGCAGATCTGTAACAACCAGTGGCGAAATATTTGAGGGAGGGGGCATTACATTCCGAACAGTTGCCCACCTTTTGCAACTGTGAATATTTGTTCTTTAAATTTTTCCCCCTTAAATTTCATTACAATTAATGGCATATTTATAGCCTACCAATTCACTATGATTGAAAAATTATAAGTACAGCTTTGTTATGCAGTTATTCAACTGCCATTCAAAGGCTTTCGGAAATTGTTGGGGGCAGTTGCCCCTGCTTGCAGTAAGTGATCTGCCGTTAAAGTAGCTCTATATTGAAATTATTTCCTGTGATATTATGTGTAAATTAGCCATCAGATTCGCTGTTGAAGAATATGTTCTGCATTTCTTCTTTTTTAAGTTTCCTTCTGTGTAGAATATAGATGGCTTGCAAATTTTAGCAAGCACTTTCGTGACCAATTCAAGTATGCATGTCATTTTAACAAGGAAAAACAAAACGTACCGAACTAAATTGCAGCCCGTATAGCTCTGACCAAATGTAAATAATTTAAAGTTAATTCAAATTATAATTTATTTTAGGGGTACAATGGAGACGGAAATCACAAAAGTGGCTTCAGAAATTACGAAAGAATTTGAAATTCCTGGTCAAGAAGATGACGTTGATTCTCCTTCTGTCACGAGTTCTACACCCAACGCTACAGTGGGTAATGTTAGTGAACCGCTGGACATGTATAACGCATTCGAGTTTTGTTCCGGCTGTGGCCTTCGTCTGGAACAGTTTGACGAGGAGACGATCAATATGTGTATTATTGTGCTATCCACATTTGTACATAGATATCCTGTTGTGTCCACGCCTTGGTTATTGAAGATATTACTTTGTGTGGGAAGGTAAATGTCATGTGAGGTTAATATATATCGCATTCATATCACACCTTTTCTCGATCATATCACACCCTTTCTCGATCATATCACACCCTTGAACCTTTAATCGACTGATGAGTCAACAACTTTGATTTCGAGAAAGGTACTAGTCGGAAAATGTGGAGGTTCAGGTTCTCTCAAAAGAATTACAATCATTGATGGTTGCGCATAGCGTAAGATATATGGTTTTAACCACGTACAGTATACACGCTTGTAAGATATGTGGTCATAACACATAATAATTAACAATTATTGGATGAGGTTTTTGTGATATGCGGAATTATCAAGGTCGAGGTAAGCTTACATTATCAGCCGAGCCGAAGGCGAGGCTGATAACGCTTAACGAGACCTTGATAATTTTGCATGTCGCAAAAACCGAATTCAATAATCGTTTTATTATACATTTGTTTGTGTTAAATAGGTCCCGCTTGGCGCTTGCTAATCATCGCAGGCTCATTTGCAGATAACTCAGTTATATATGCTAGCAGATAACTGAATTTTCTGTAGGTTGCGTGATTGCGCGATTTAACTGTAAGCTCTAAGCCAATCAAATTGTTTTTACGAACTACAATGTTGGTAATGGACCAATCCCATATTAATCAAAATTTTGAACTCAACAAATCTAGACAAGATTTTCATCACAGCTTGAAAGAGCATCACAAAATTAGCAATATTCCAAAGTTTCGTTGCGAAATGCTGTAAAATGCGGAGAATGATTTGGCTTTGCGAAATTTGCAATTTTCGGTCATTTTGTATTATAAACGGGAATGGTTACCACTTCCGTGCGTAATACAAAATGACTGAAAATTACAAACTTCGCAAGGCTATATTATCCGCATTTTACAACATTTCGCAACGAAACTTTGGAATATTACTAATCTTGTGATGCTCTTTCAAGCTGTGATGGAATTTTGTCTAGACTTGTTGAGATCAAAATTTTGGTTAATTGGGGGATTGGCCATTGGCATGCAGAAAGACAATCTGGAGTTTTAGTTGCGCATCCAAGTGACGCATTTTTTCGTCAGATAAATTGCAGTTGAACTGAACATATAGCTGGGACTGGAAGAAGTAGAATTTGTATATCAAAGTATTCAACTGTTCAATCATCATTTGAACATGCAAACGGTTGCTGAAAGAACAATTTGCTTTAAATAAGAATATATATTTCCTCTCCTGTACCCTTCTTTATTTTATTTTACATGCAGAAGACAAGATATGCTAGTAAAATGGAGAGTTGGTGGAAGGTTTGATTCTGGCCATGAGTGAAGCAAACTGAAACACAAATAATGATTGAGCAGTTGAATACTTTGATATGCACATTTTAATGCTTCGAGTCTTAGCGACACGTTATCATTTTACATGTTATAGGTTGCTTGTGTGATGTTACTCTGAGTGTATATCCACAACGGGCAAGCTTGAAAATTAATGCCTGGCCACGGTGGGATTCGAAGACTAGCCCAACGCTCTGCCCACTGAGCTACGCAGTCAGGTCGGTTCGAGTATGCGATATTTCGGAACTGAGTCTAGTTCCTTCGATATCAGTGTAATCTAGTAATCATGATATTTGCTGTGTTGGTGTAATGTACTCAGGTGAATAAGATGCTTGTGTGATGTTACTCTGAGTGTATATCCACAATGGGCAGGCTTGAAAAATATGCTTGACCACGGTGGGATTTGAAATATCGAAATATCGCATACTCGAACCGACCTGACCGCGTAGCTCAGTTGGCAGAGCGTTGGGCTAGTATTCCAAAGGTCGTAGGTTCGAATCCCACCGTGGTCAGGCATATTTTTCAAGCCTGCCCGTTGTGGATATACACTCAGAGTAACATCACACAAACATCTTATTCACCTGAGTACATTACACCAAAACAGCAAATATCATGTTATAGGTTATTTTATGATTTAACTGCAATCTACCCGGACGCAGAATGCGTCATTTAGGTGCATGTAAAAACTCCAAATTAGCTTATTGTTCAACTCTGATTAAAAGCAAATGCTCGAAGCTGCTCGTTTGGCCATTCCTATAAAAACTCAACTCTATTTACAAAATATACATCAAGGTTGCAGCTAACACGCCAGCCAATTACAATCAACACCCTTTCTTGTGAAATGTTGATCGCCCTTAGGTTTTACTTCACTGATTGGTAGGTAACAGTAAAGCGCAGTGCAGAGTCGCAAGGTCATAATTGCACGCGTAAAAACGCTCAGGTTGTTGCAACATTGGTGAAAACAGGATTGAACAATGCTTTGCTTCCCATATTGTTCACAGTTGTCAACAATATTGAACAATATTGTTACACCCGATTCAGGCTCAACAATATATATTGTTCAATATTGTTGACAAGTGTGAACAACGTGGGCAGAAAAACATTGCTCAATCCTGTTAAGCAGCGGGCTCGGCGTTTTTTGCCGTGTACACTCATAGATACATTATGTACAGTAATGCATGCATACTTCATGTAGTTCAATTTAAGGGGATTGCTGCACCACCCCTAAAAGTTTATCCAACTCCTCCACAATTTCCAGCAAATTTCTTACTGTAGTTCATTGATTTTGTGCATTCATATCTGACAGGTGGTGATGAAGAACAATTACGCCCGTATTCTAAAAGCTCACTCACACTCAATGAGTGGAGGTTCAATCTGAGCTTCTCTCGAGTGTCTAGATTGTTTTTGAATAGCTGGTCGATTAGTGTCCTACCTTAATATGTGACTGCTCACCCTCCAGCTATTCAAAAACAACATTGACCCTCTAGAAAAGCTCAGATTGAACCTCATTGAGTGTGAGTCTGAGTGATCTTTTAGAATACGGGCGTTAGTTGTTCTGATTATATTTCTTGTTCGTTTTTAAAGGAAAGTGATAGAACCAGTTTATCATTGGCAGGTTAAAAGGTTAGTCGAACCGTTTAATATCATTTTATTTTCTGACAAGCTGTTGAGTTTGTTGTTGTGTAATTGTTGAATTGCAGACTGAGTTGGATTACAACGCATGATGGACATATATTGTTTGCAGTTTTGTTAAATATTGATTGCTATATTTCTGCAAGATAAGAACCATAGAATATACGTACTGAACCGTTTCCTAACATGAAACGCCTGAAAACCCCAATCCGTTAAAAGCATAAATTCAAAATTTCACATTATTGCTTCTTTATTTCTTCTCTTTAGCAACACCATAACACCTCTATCCAGCGTGGAGATTGCAAAACAATTTTTACGTTGTGTTTTGGTTCAATTTGCGCCCAATGGTCTCTTTCCTGAATTATTTAGAACACAGATTGAAGGTAAGTATTTGACAGTATTGATGTTCTTTTAATTCTGCGCCTCTTCTTATTCTAGTATACATTTCCTTGCATAGATCCAACGATATTTCCAGCCATTGCAGCAGCGTTATGTGATTTCCCGCAGTTCAATCAAATGGGACCAATTGCGTATCTCTTGATGGTAGGCTTTAACACGAATAAAGTAGTTGATAAAGTGTATAAAACAATCAATCGAAAATCCAAGATATAGATGGCACGTCTTACAAAGATACATGTCTTGCAAATGTGATCTTGATTTAAAGTTAAATTTACGTTTTGATTTTTCGTTTTCAATTTACGTTGTTTTTATTTTTTTTGTTTTCATTTTTCGGTTTTTGTTGAATTCTTTATTTTCTTGAAAGTAGTTAATTAAGGTGGCTACTTCTCTAAACTCCTCGCTGGAGGAGAGACCCTGGGAGCCACAAATATGTCCCCTGGGAGGGGTGGTACTTTTTAATGTATATTTTTCGAATGTTTCTGGTCTATCGCGGAACCCCAAAGTCTACAAGACCTAGAGCCTGTTGTAGGACAGCGAAATTTTCTTGGCGGAGTAACCAAAGAAGACATTACAGTGTTTTCACATTTTTTTCGAAACAGCTTGCCTTTAGTTTCGAAATGCGCTTGCTTTGTACTACGATTCTTCTGGATGATACAGTGTATACACTCTCACTGGGAAACCAGGTGCTATAAATGACCCGATTTACATTTACGCAAATAAAGTACGAACCTTCCCCTCGATCCCTAGTGGTCAATATCCAGCATTCACTAGGGTCTCTAGGGTCTCTTTCTCCATCGAGGAGCGGTAGAAAAGAGAGCCTGGGTGCGAGGTTGAGTCTTGTGCTGTCGGTATATAAACAAATAGGAAAGGTTTTTTGCACTTTTATTGTCTATTTCACAATCAAACGACAGCTTTCAGGTTTCAAGATTTCATGAATAGCGGCTACAGAAAATCCGTCTTGTATAGTATTTCTTGAAATTTTGATGTTTCACTAATGTGCTTTGCAAATGCGCAAAGTTTAAAAATATTTCCCCCAAGGAAACGCGAGAAAGTCCAGTTGAAGCTGATATCGATTCAATGATCACTATTTGCACGTGCATGTAAATTATAATGCGTGAAGAACACGAAACGTTTGGTTTATAGTTGGATTTTTAATTAATTTTTATTTTAGTTTTTGGCTTACATATATCACACAGATATTTATTTATTTATTTGGGATATGTTCAAAATACGAAACATTAAGAACACATGCAATAACGCACTGAATTAATCAAACGTTTCTTCGCTCTTCTGTTGTATATATAATAGGAGCTTCTAATACATGTCTCTGCACATTTTTCGAGCATTTGTTTCGGATTTAGCTTAAGATCTTTCACAAAGGTTTTTCCTTTCACAAAGGATTTAGTTCAAGATCTTTCATCAACGAAGATAACTCCGAGAAAATCAAATCCACTTCTTTACTTTTGTCAATGATGTTTTCCTTTAAGTACGCATATCTATTTTTCTTGTAATTCCGTGACTTCAGAAGGTTGGTTTCAAAGCAGTTCCAATATGAACAATTTCGAAGTTGTAGCCAACACTAAATCTGGCCGTTGGCCACATGTCAACAATGCGTCCGTACTCTCATTACCGGGTATTGTTTAGTGTTTAATGAATTTGATTTGTTGCTAAATACATTAATTTAACTATTCAAAAATAATAAATATATAAACATTGAAATCACGATTAATATATTAGCAACAAGGAAGCCTAAAATGAAACCAACAGGCTTATTTAAATTTAGGCTCCCTTTGGACACGCATGCATTTGGGGTAATGATTAATATTTATTCTATTTACATAATATTAATTTTGACATACAAGAGTACATGATCATCATATCAATAACTCGTTATATAACACAGTATTTACAGTTACGAGAGGGTGATGAATTTCAATATTTAAAGAAGAAAAAAGCTTTAAGTTTTCTTTTAAATGAAATTAAGGAAGTAGCATTAACTAATTCTAATGGAAGAGAGTTAAAAAGTTTTGGGCCCTGGAATCTTACACAAAACTGTTTGATATTTGTTCTACATAATAGCACATGGAAAGCTTTCGAATGTCTAGTGTCATAAGTATAGACTTGTTTATTTAAAACAAATATACTGTTAAAACCTTTCGGCAAAAGAGAATTTTTGTGACAATACATAAATTGACCTAATTGCAGCAAACGAATATCTTCGAATTTCAATATGTTTAGCTTTTTTAAAGAGCGGGTCAGTATGAGAATGAAATTCGCTCTTGTTTAAAATTCTAATAGCTCGTTTTTGCAGCAATACGATACGGCACTGGTTGGACGAGTATGTCGAAGCCCAGACGAAGTAACAGTATTCAAGATATGGATAAATGATTGAATAGTATAAAATACGTAAAGAGATATCAAATAAATAAAAACTTGACCTAAAAATTATTCCTATTGATTTTGATATTTTATTTGCTACATGAGAGATATGTGACTTCCAAGACAGTGTTTCATCCAAAATTACTCCTAAAAACACTGTCTCATTTACCTGTTCAATACTGCGATTGTTAAGTGTCAACTGAACATCGGCATGGGTGACGTGTTTTCTGTCTTGGTTTAAATATCATGAATTTTGTTTTCGTTAAATTTAAGGAAAGTTTGTTTACAATAAACCAATCGGACAGTTTTCTTAATTCTCTGTTCAAAACATTGTTCAATAAGTCTTTATGTGAAAAAATATGCTCGTATCGTCGGCAAATAGGATTAGGTCTACGAGTTTTGATACATTAGCAATATCATTAATATATAATAGAAAGAATAAAGGACCAAGTATCGAACCCTGAGGTACTCCACAGGTTATATTTTTTGAAGCAGAGAAACAATCACTGAATTGAACAAATTGAAGTCTCTTTGAATGTTTGCATGGCGACAAAATATAATTGTTTTTGTTTGTGCTTACGGATCGAAAGCTTTGCAGTAATAAATTTACGTGGTGTTTCCACAAACAAAAACAATTAAATTGAAGTCTATTGGAAAAGTAACTTTTTACCCACTCGAAAGCTAAACCACGAATCCCGTAATGTTTTAGTTTATGAAAAAGAATGCTGTGGTTTACTGTGTCGAAGGCTTTCGATAAATCTAGAAAAATCCCAACCGCAATTTCTTTTTGATCAATCGCAGTTGAAATCTTATTATACAAATCTACTAAAGCAAGAGAAGTTTAATGATTTTTGTATCTGCGAAGCAGATATATTGCTGTCGCAAACGTAATGTTACCGTATCCCTAGCCATTCAGCGACGAGCTTATATAATTGAGCCAATTAAAGCCAATCAGCGATTAGTTTACATCAATTGTTTACGTCTTGCCCGCATCTAACCTGCGAACGGGCATAGATTGGCCTCGTGTATATTCTTTCAAAAATATCTTGGTTTTATCAATTTATTTCGAATTTGTTGTGTGTTTTTTCGCCATTCTACTTGCGATATTATTCCGAAATTATTTATCACCATCGAGACTTATCCTCATCTGGTAAGTAGTCAAATACCACATATTTTTATTATATATTTAAATACAAAATTGGTGCAAATACCACGTATAATTTTGCATATTACACTGTAAATATTGGATAACGTAGTTCACAAAAAGATTTATCAGTAAAACAATCCTTCTGTGACTTCTGTAATATTTTAAACAGTCAAAACATAGCAGGTAATGTTGCCAATGAACAATATCAAAGGAAACTAATGGTCTCAGGAGATATTGAATTAAATCCTGGTCCTGTACTCCTGTATTTCTGTATGATTAACTCTGTATAAACTCTGTTCAAAACAACAGTCCAACTAAGCTGTCATCAAATGTAGTGTTTGAGGTTAAAGATGTTATCAGTTAAAATACTTAATACATTTTGGTTTTATAATTTTAGAGTTTATAATTAAACAACATTTTTACAAACATTTTCAAATGCTACTCCTGAGCCTCATTACATTGTCATTTTGCTTTCTAACATAAATGTTTTGTTTAGAGATTTATAATACAAGAATGATGAATAAATGTACTGGATATTGGCTGGATAATTTTGTCTGAACAACCCACTTGCATGACAATCTTACCTAAATGCATTAGTATGGAAAATAAGTAAATAACTTAACAGCTACAATGAATAATCATATATTATATGGATGGATCTGATCAATGGCACACAATGTACAAAACTAAACTTGTGATACCTTCTACTCAAACCAATCTGCTCCCACAACACAAATTGTTTTTGTGTGGATATACTGTGTTAAAACGAAAACAGTGTGGCCTATTATTAATTGTGCACACAACTGGAATTGAATTATATACTTCACTCATGACCTTCAAAACATTCTCTACTATTCAGTGGTCTTCGATATATATGATTGACCTCTTTGCTACAGTAATGCATGTTCCTCAAATAGTTTGTGTATGTTACTCAATAGTTAACATTGGCATGTGTAAACAACAAGTGACAGAATGTTTGCTTCATATGATTACAATAAAGTTTTGCATGACATTTTTATTTCCTGGCTGCATAATTATCCATTACAATCATAATCACATGATAAGATTAGTTAAATTTTCTTGGCGGGTAGCATTGGGTGGGTGGGGGGCAGTTGCCCCTGCTGCTCTCCCTGCTATATGTGTACAGCCATGTTAGATGTGTATTATGTATGACTTTAAAATCTTATTTGCTATTATATTTATTATTATAAGTGATGAAATATTTCAATAAACCTTATGCATAATGACGTCACAAGACTTGATGCCCGTGAGGAATGCTGGTCTTAGTAGTTATCGCCCGGGAAAATTAAACAATTCAAAATGGCCACTATAGAAATTTTACAGGGCGATGACTCGCGGGCATCAAGCCTGGTGACGTCATTATGCATAAGGTCTATTTCCCCATGTCATCTTCATTATTCAATTCCTTTCAAGAAAATACAAAATGTGAGTCAAGTTTTTCGCAGATACATGTACGCGTCGCGTACCTATTTTTCCGAAAATCGTACTGTTAATAAGATAATATATTGTATTTATTAAAGTATTCCAAAAAACGGTTATAGATAATTCTTTCTATGAATTTGGAGAAACTAGGAAGTATAGAGACTGGTCTGTAGTTTGTGAAAACATCTCGATCTTCAGCTTTGAAAAGAGGAATTACCCGAGCAATTTTCATCTCATCGGGTACAATGCCATGAGTTATGGACAGATTAATAATGTGAGTCAGTGGTTGAGAAATTGCATTGATTGATTGTTTTATTATCGACATAGGAATTTTATCAAAACCTACAGCTTGTTCTGACTGAAAACTGGAAGCCATGTCCAGGATCTCGGATTCAGTTGCTAACTTAAGGAAAATTGAATTTGGAAAATTTCCGGATAAAAAGGTTTGATGAGAATTAGGAGAAGTTGGGATTTTTTTAGCCAGGTTGGGGCCAATATTAGTAAAATAATCACAAAATCTATTAGTAATATCTACATAAAGCCTCATATTGGTGGTCAATATTGAGGATAGGTATAGTACATAATGCAATTCAGAACCGAGTTATGTCTCCACAAGTAGCCCTGTTGGTTGTCTGCTGCAATATTATTCATATTGCGCAAATATCCATATGTATATGATCAAATGCACATTAGAACCTAAATAAATTAGACTACAATGTTAAATATTTTTATATATGTGATTAAAATGCCGAGTATATACCAAAAAGTACTAATAAAAAGCTAATATATAAATAATGTGTCTTCAGCAAACTTTGAATAACTATATATAAATAATTTTGAATAACTTCATAACATCATACGGCAGTTCATTCCAGATTAGATGCCGCTTTCAAAAAGGCAAGATGATCACCGAATGTCTTTTTGTTCTAGCTCTTGGCGGTTGTAAGCACAATCCATTGTTATTCCATCTAAGATTATATCCTCTGGATTTTTTAAGACTAACAAACTCTCTTAAATAAGCTCTCTTACTCGTTTTGGATATTTATCCCAATTACCCGATATGCAAAAATAAAACGATTGAACTGATTAACGTTTTTACATATAAGCTTCAGCTATGCCTTCGTTGTTACTTACAGTGCTTTACATGACTTGTTGTTATTGCTAAAATGATATTGCATTAGAAAAATGGAAAACATTCTCCGTACGTGCAGTTACAGAAACACGCGTGGGAGAAATAATCAGTGGGGAAACGAGCACAAAGGGTGTGTTTTCCACGTTAATTCGAGTTCTCCCGAATAACTACACGTGCTTCTATAATGTATATAACTCAAGAAACGTTTTTATAGCCATTTTCTATATCGATTATTTACAAACCTTGGCATAAAATCCAGTCCATCGGTTGCCCAGTTGTCAAGATCTCTTTTTTAAACCGAGAATTCTTTTTTTTGTGGTTCCCTAAAGGTTCGCAAATATCATTGTTAAAAGTTGAACATTTTTCCAACAGAAAATTTGTGGAAATGGGCCTTAATTCTGTTTTTAAACCATGTGTTATCAGACTTTCTTTCAATTATACAGCGCGAGCATGTTAAAATTGTGGTGTTTACGTTTTAAAATCAAGGCTTCTAGACGGGAAATTTCTTGTGTAATTCCATACAGTTTTTAGAAACACGATTCTCCACCAATGTTATATTTATCATTTATAGATCTGGAGCGTGAGGGATTCGGCGAATTATTACCCGAAGTGATGATATTTCTCGAGGGGCTTTGCCCCGAGGGAAATATCATCACTGGGGGTAATATTTCGTCGAATCCCCCGAGCCGAGGGTCTATATAAATGGATTTTTTTCCCAGAAAATTAAAAGCCTCCAAAGTTGAGAATATAAAAGTTGACACATATTTTCGCTAATACGATGGGTTTTTTTTATTAACGTAAGTATTTGTCACTTTTCCTTCAAATCACATATCGTTTGGAGTATTGATAAAATTTTTGAAAATGTCTTCAAAATTTTGTCGGCCATCTTGTTTGCGTTATCTCCGCGCCGATTTTAGGACGGGAACGCGACGACGACGGCCAAAACAAACTCCTTCAAATAAATGGTAGTAAAGATAATTCGTCGTATATTATCAATCGTATGAATTAAATACAGTCTTAGAAGTTGAAGACATGGTTGGGAAGAGTTCGGCTGAACCCAGTTTGAAGTTGCACTTGTTGCGGCTTGAAATGCAGCCGTTGTATCAAGACGTGAAAATTTGTGATTTGGCGTTGTAAACAGAGCGTAGACAACGTCTAAATTATTCATATATTGTAATTATTCAATTCTTTTCAATGATCTATTGTATTGGTAGCCGTTGCCGTCCTAAAATCGTAAGGTCTCTGATGTCACTTTGATGTCACTTGGGTGACATCGTCAAATCGCCATGTGATATAATTGAAGTCACCCGCTTATGTCAAATATACGATGACCTATTAGGCGCGATTCGATGAAAAATTTGATAAAGTGGTTCTTGTATTTTGGGTGCTTAATTGCCTATAAATTTCAGATTAATTCTGTATTCCTAGGGTGTGAGTTCAAAAACAATCCCAGATCGTCTTCAAATTCTGCTACCCAACATGGCGGCTTACCTGAAGAATGTGAAGAAACAACCTGCAGAAATGTGGAAAGGACAACTTTTGAAATTCATCAGATTTTTGCAGAAACTCGCTCCTTTTATCCCCAAGAACGTAAGTCAAGTGCCAGTAATGACAATAGCTTTAATTAATACTGTTTTTTGTATACACCATTATATGACAAAACGCAAAGAAATAAAAATTAGAAAATTTAAAAGAAATACTGTATTTCTTTTAAATTTTCTAATTTTTATTTCTTTGAGTTTTGTCATATAATGGTGTATACAAACCTTGAGTACAAGACCTTGTATTTTTACCGAACATTAATTCAAAGCAATTAGAGCTGTCAAATGACTACAGTATAGCTAATTTGAATTTGAAAGGGTTCAGTTTTTTATACACACTGTATTATGGGCAAACAATGCTTTTCAATATATTTACAATAGAAGTGTGAACACTGCAATTTTTCAACTCGATTCAAACACGGAAAATGCTTTTCTAATGCAAAACCCTCCAGGTCACCAGGAAATGCAAAAAAAAATATTCCCTTATGAACTACAAGATATCATACTAGAAAAAACTGATTGCGAACTGGATTTACGTGTATAGTATTTTGAGCAATTGAAATTTTTAAGCAAACGTATTTTAGCCCTAAACAAAAGTTAGGGGCTGTTTATATGGTCCCGCTTACCCGGGATTCAATGAAGTATGACGTATTTTGAGCAATTGAAATAAGTCGCAGTTCATGATCTAACAAAATATAGGCCTATTGCTTGTTACAAATTGTATGAAATTCCATGTTTTAGACAAAAAACAAATTATGTTGAATGTTATTAATCGTCTTCTTCCACTACATATAACTTCTAGCGCAGCGCTTTCCTAATTTCGTTTAAACAATATTTATCATTTATAGACCTGGAGCGAGGGGGATTCGGCGTAATATTTGCCGAAGTGATAATATTTTCCGAGGGGCTTTGCCCCGAGGAAAATATCATTACTGAGGGAAATATTACGCCGAATCCCCCGAGCGGAAGGTCTATAAATGATATATTATACCGAAAGTTAAAGAACTCATTAAGAGTCTATTAAGTTCAGAATAAACTTTAAAACTTGCTGAATATTAATAACGACGCGAATACAATTTTTAATTTCTTATCTATGCCTGAGTTTTTGACGTTTTCTCCTTAAAATATTTGAGCAAGTATCCTTTGGATCGTTAAATGTAACATACGTGTTGAAATCTTTGGTTTACTTAATAAATCTTCTGACATGTAGTTCTGTACGAAATTAATACAAACAACAGCTCGCGAACGCCATATTGTTTCAGACAGGGTTTCAGAGCGTGATGTCCACGCGTCGCGCGTGAGCGTGGGATACTATAATATCCCACGGTGGATCTGCCGTGGGATATTATAGTATCCCACGCTGGATTGCGAAATCATGAATTTGAGTGAAATACCGTAAAGAATCACACTATCACGTGGTACAAATGCTGTTTTTTCATTGGACAATTTGAATTTGAGGTATAATATTTAAAGTTATCTAACTTTTGTTTAAGGCTGAAACACGTATTTCAATTGCTCAAAATACGTCGCACTTCATTGAATCATATAAACAGCCCCATTGATAACTTTAAATATTGTTTAAACCAATTATGTAAGATGTAAGGTATCTGTTAATATTGATGATATGCATATTATTATTCTACCCGTACAGTACAGACAAGGATTGCTTGTGTAATATATGTAGTATTGACTATTAATATTACGTAATTGTCAGTCTCACGACATTTCTTAAGTATGTTCTTTACTGATTGTACCAGAACGAGCTCGTTCACAGGAAAGAAACGACCATAGGAGACAAGAACCACCAAACCTACTTCCAGCAAATATACCTGTGGCACAACCGAGAACAAGTCGCTATGGAAGAATAATAAACCAAAATCCAAACTACAAGACATAAACTTAATTAACTGCACTTCAACTCCAGATATCACGATGTGAACCATTTAGTGATACGCAAAACTTTATTTCACATTTTGTTTATGAACTTTCAATAATGATCTTAAATATTAGGAAAGGGGGGATGTAATATATGTAGTATTAACTATTAATATTACGTAATTGATTGGTGCATGATTGACAGATCCAACTTAGATATAGACACATGCACGGCTTCGAGATACCTCTTTTGTGTACTAGACTGCAACTGTAAACGTCTATTATTAAATACATATTCAATCTTTATACGTCGGCTATTACAGCTTGTACGTTGCCCCCAAATCGAAAATAAAAAATCGGGCACTGTCAATCGATGCGAAGTATCGTTTAAAACAACATCCTGCCAAATTTCATGACGATCGGATTCAAAATGAAGGAGACTTCGAACAGCGTCGTTCCCTATAACAACAGCAAGGAGACCAGTTCCTTGTTCAAAAAGAACTAACATTGTTTTCTTTCTCTGATTATTACAGCTTGACCATGCATCATTTGCTGCACCATAGTGCCTATTGTGGAAACCCAATTATTTCTGTATTTTCTTATGTATTCACATGTTTTAATTTCTAGAATGATGCAACACCGGTCTTGTGTATAATGTTGTCATTCATAAGTGCTGCCAACTCATCATTTAAGGTATAGGCGTTATTATGGAGTTTTTCACATTGTCAACAGTGCTGTTATTTGCTTGCCTTTTATATATAATTCTTTTTTCTTGTTCTTGTTTACACAAAACTATTATTTGGTGGGCGTTGTGACCTATTTTGCGGGTTAACATGAACAAATTAACGGGCTAAAATACCCGCCTAATTTTAGGTTGTTTACGTCCGCCGGCAGTGATTTTTAGCAATGTCTTGAGCTGGCTCTGGGCAAGTCTTTTAAATGTTTCCCACAAAATGGCTGTATATGTGTCTGATTGAGTCAGGCCAGAAACATATTTATGCCCAAGAACATCAACTCTATTGTTATGTTATTGTATACAATGTATACATTGTAGTTACTACTAACTCTTGACGAAGGGCCTTCGCTCGAAACGTCGAGTTTCTGCCTGTTTATTTCAGGTAGTGATAATATACATAACGATTACTCGACTGTGATTGGTTGATTTCAGTGCAGTTAATCCCAAACAGCAGTGCAATTTTTTGTAGTCACAGTGCAATTTTCTGTAATCACAGTGCAAAAATCTGTAACAAACTGATCTGATTGGTGGAAAAACATTGTGATGATTAAATCGACCAATCAGTTTAACGCAATTTAGTTTAAAGAAATAACGGTCACAGATTGCTTCAAAACAAAACAAACATGGCGGCGCGCTACACAAAGTAAAAGTTGCCTTGGCGTGGAAAATATGGCTTTTATCTTTATTTTTAAATGGAAAAGCATTTACCTTAAACAAGACTTACACAAATTACATAGTTGAGTGGAATTTTCAAGCTGTTAGCGTTGTATATTGTGATATAACAAAGCCAGGAAACTTTGCCAGTGGAATGTTCGCTATAAACGCGTAAGTTAAAACTACAATTGTCTCGAACATTTTTATGTAAATTATTAATAAGTAATAGCATGGTTTCTCGTGAAATTTGGATAAACATGCACTCGTGAGTTTTTCAAAGACCTCAAATAGCACTCGTCCTTCGGACTCGTGCTATTTTGAGGTCTTTGAAAAACTCACTGGTGCATGTTATATCCAAATTGTACTCGAAATCATGTTATTACCTATACTAATATAACCACTCAGTACAGCAATTTCACATTGGTAGGCTACTATCCACAATGGTACAGACAGTTTTATTGTAGTCACTATACGTGCATGTCTTCGGATTGTCCAATAGCTTACAGCTCAATTAAAATATGGAAATCACGCAAACTACACATAAATCAGTTATCTGCTAGAAGATATATATATATATATAATATAATTTTCCTTGTACTATTATCTTTCTCAAAGCGAATATTTTCCTTTTTTCCGTTTCGCAAAACACATGTAGTTTTTGGACCGCCATCTTGTTTTTCGCTACTCGCCGTGTATGAGCTGATATACGGCGAGTAATTCAACCAATCAGATTGCACAACAGCTCATATACGGTGAATGACTATATTATATTATATTATATTATATACATATATATATATATATATATATATATATATATATATATATATATATATATATATATATATATATATATATATATATATATATATATATATATATATATATATATATATATATGTGTATATATATATGTGTATATATATATATGTGTATATATATATATGTGTATATATATATATATATATATATATATATATATATATAT